AAGGAATGATGGGTGCTTTGGTGGTGGGTGTAGTGAGTTAACATACACCTGAAGAGATGTGAATCTATACACATGCAGAGCTGTACAACAATATTACTTCAATTGAAAACAATGATATACCCAAGGAAAGAATGACTAGCAGAGGGGCCAAATCTGCCACAGAAGTTTTCATACACTTCATCTTGCAATTCTGGCTTTGCAAGAGAATGACCAGGTTTTCCTCATTCTCCTAGAGATGTTTACAGGGGTATGTCTGGGGGAAGTAAATTTGGTTTTGCCGGGACTCTGCCTTTTATTTGGAAATTGTTGAATAAACAGTGGCTTCTGGAAAGCCTTATGAAAGGACTGTTGCTCTATTGCAACTTTCCCAGGTCTGTGTACTCTCACAGGGCTCAATGTTTATAACATAAAATATAGTGCTTTCTTAATGAGGAAAGATACTGAGAGAAGGAAGATAAGTTAACACATAGCAGTGCTATTTGCTACAATTTCCATTCTTCTGTTTCTTTCACAGTCACAGAACCCCTGATTTTTTTTTAAAGATTTATTTATTGTGCATACAGAACTGGGGTACAGGCCAGAGGCTCAGGGGAGATGAGAGGCTTCACCAGAGACAGAGTGGGGAACAAAACAGGCAGATCGATGAAGTACACTGCTGAGGGGAGCAGCGGGAGGGCCAGGAGAGGTCTGCCACGCCCTGTGGTCACCTCCGGGGCAGGCGGGAATCGAACTCATGCGGAAGCGGCTTTAGATTCTCAGTGCTGTGCTTTAACCCGCTGCGCCACCAGGGAGGGCCCAGAACCCCTGATTTTTAGGTGGGAACATAGTGGCCCAGTATAAAGACCACTTTCCCAGGATTCTTTGTGGCTAGTGATAGCCATGTGATTAGATTTAGACAAATGGGATGTTATCAGTATAAATATCTACTTCAAAAGAAGGGGAGGGGCCACTACTTCCTAGTTCCCTTTTCCTGACAGGAATACTGATGTTATGGCTAGATCTTGACTAAATCTCTGAGACCATGAAAAAAAAAAAACAAAAAACAGAGGACGAGAATAATGTTGCAAGAATATAGAAGGAACCTGAAGTGATGATGATGATAGTGTCACTATTCTGCCTGGGACTCAGATTTAACATCTCAAACTACTCAGTTGTTTAGGCCTATAAATATGGGAACCTGGGCCTCCCAGGTGGTGCAGGGGTTAAAGTCTCAACACTGTGACATGAGTTTAATTCCTGGCCAGAGAGCTGACTCACATGGTGCAGCATGGTCACCCACTGCTCCCCTCAGCAGTGTATTTCAGCAGATCCATCTGTATTGCTCCCAATTCTGTCTCTGGTGAATGCTCCCACTCCCATCACCCTATACCTCTGATCTATACCCCAGTTCTTGAATGCATCCATAAATAGAAATCTTTTAAAAAAAAATCTGGGAGCCATTTTGTAATGCCATCAGGATACTTACATTTGTATGGGTATATTTTTCTGTATATACACATGTATGCACACTCAGTCATAGAAAGAGGATGGGAAAAATATTTACCAAAACGTTTGTTTTCTTCTTCACATTTTGCTATACAATGAATTTTTTCCTGAACATGTGTTATTTCAAAACTCAGAAAAAATTAAGTCAAAGGAGGAAAAAAATGAACATTCTAAAAGTTAGCAGTCAGAATACCTAGATTTTTTCACTGTAAATATTATTGTATCCTTAAATAACAGTATCTTCAAAATGTTTCCATTAAAAACAAATATTTCTGTGATGGTAGAACACAAGGTATAATTAATAGATTAGTTTCCACATGGCTTTTCATGAACCAAAGAAAACAAGACAAAAAATATGGAAGAGTTAATTTTCAGGGAGGTCTTATGCTTAGCCAGTGCTTATTATGTACCACATTAAGAATCAGATACTGTGAGCATTGAAATAATAAGACAAGGAACTCATGGTGAGGTAGGAAAATAGACACATAAACAAAATAGCATAAAGGACACATTTACTAAGATAAACAAACATCCAAAACAGGACAGAGGGAAAGGGGTCTTCTAGGAGACAGGAGATTTTGAGGTGCTTTCAAGGAAATACAAATTAATCAACATGTTCAAAATGCTGTGGGTACATGTGAGTGAATGGAGTGAATGGAATGTGTGGGAGATAAAGACTGAGAGACAAAGGAAGACATGGAAGTGGAGAGAATAGAGAGGAAGAGCTGGAGAATCTGAAGACTGTGGTAGGAAGAGCTGAGGTAGGAGACAAACAGCAACAGAGGAGCAGGGAGATATAGCAGAAGAGATGGGGTGAGAGGGAATTGGTGGAAGGGAACAAACTGGGGAGAGAAAATGTGCATACATCTGCATTTGTGTGACAGACTCTGTGTGTATATGTGTGTGTGTTGGAGACAGTGGAGGTGTGAGTGGGTCATAAGGTTGCAGCTTCAAGATTATATACAGGCCAGCATCTGGGTTGTTTTTTTTTTTTTTTGATAAGGCTGAGGAAACACTGAAGGATTTTAGGCAGAAGAGAGATATAACCAGATGATGACTCTCTCTCCCACTTGAGGACCCTCCCTGAAGTCCCTAATAGCCTAACCTCATGCCTGACCTTTGAATATGGGTGGTTAAAGCAGACTTTGCTGATTGACATCATGTAAATCCTAGGAGAAAGGCATTTTAATGAGGATGTTCATAGCATATCAGTGGATACTAAAATCACTAGGTAAAAGACTACTGAGGAACAATATATTCCAAGATGCAAAACTATCACTCCATAGTTTGTTTATTAGCTACAAAAGGAAAAAATAGGTCCCTTATAATATAGAGATCTAGAGATCATCATCTTAATCAAAGCATCAAACTCAGACTCACTCAGGCAGAATCACTTGTCAACATGACCCATGAGCTTCCTGACCACATGCAGTAGGACGTATATAACCTCAGCTTTGACTATTTAAATTTTACATTAAAATTACCAAAATTAAAATTCAGTCCTCAGAATCATAAGTCACATTATACATGCTCAATACCTATTCATCGCTAGTGACTATTGCATTAGATAGCATCAAATCCCCAGTTTATAGGAATATAGGGGATGATGTACAAGTTAAATGATAACTCAAAGAAACAACCAGTCAAATTCAGAATGTGAGTCATTCTATATGGCTGGTCTGCCTTCTTCAAAAAAGGAAGACTGGAAGACTAAGTTTGACTAAGAAATTTTAAAAAGACACCATGACCAAAAGGAAAAATAAAGGAACTTTCAGGAGAACTGGAAAAATTTAAATGTCAGCTAGATGTCAAACAATATTGTGGAGTGGTTATTACTTTTCCTAGGTGTGATACAGTATAATGATTATGTAGGAGACTATCTTTGTTCTTAAGAGCTATACACTCAAGTATTTTTTTTTTAAAGATTTATTTATTTTTGCATACAGAACTGGGGTACAGGACAGAGGCTCAGGGGCAGCGAGAGGCTTCACCAGAGACAGAGTGGGGAGCAGAACAGGCAGATCGAGAAGTACACTGCTGAGGGGAGCAGCGGGCGGGTCAGGAGAGGTCTGCCACGCTATGTGGTCACCTCCGGGGCAGGCGGGAATCGAACTCATGCGGAAGCGGCTTTAGATTCTCAGTGCTGTGCTTTAACCCGCTGCGCCACCAGGGAGGGCCACACTCAAGTATTTAAGGGAGAAATGCCATGGTGTCTACAACATATTTGCAATGCTTCAGGAAAACACACATGTACACACACACAGGCCAAATACAGGAAAGTATGTACAACTACTGCACATGAGTAGGAAGTATATGCATGGTTATTAGTCCAATCGAGAGTCTATAACAAAGTATCATTGAATGGGTGGCTTATAAACAACAGAAATATATTCAAAGTTTTAGTAATGAAAGTGAGTGTGTGTGTGCATGTTCATTTATGTGTGTGTTTATATATATCTCAAGGCATCAGCATATAGTTAGACCATAGCATAAATGTTCATTATAAAAATTGTTTTAATTTTTCTGTATACTTGAAACTTTTACATAAAGGCTGGGAGTAAATTACTAGTGTTTTTAAAAAAAGTTGGGTTTTGTTTGTTTTGTCCATTCATTTTATTTATTTACCACATATTAGTAGGAACAAACTCTTAGACTGCAAGAACACAACAGTGGTTACCCAAAAGGAAATTGGAATGTGCAGGGTGTGTAAACTGGGTAAAATGGTTTAATTATATGGTGATGGATGAGAACTAGACTTAGATGATGAGAATAATATAGTATATATCGATGTTGAAATATATGTCTATACATCTGAAGCCTCTATGTTATAAATCAATGATATGTCAATATTAATTAAAGTTCTATTAACAGAAAAAAGCAGGGAGTGGTGCTAGTAATCAGTATTCAGTTGGGCTAGCTGGGCAACAACCCCTGACCAATGCAAATGGTGAAAAAAAAAAAAAAGCCTGGCTCTTCATACTTGATATGGTTTGTGAAGTGAAAGGTTGCCAAGAACCTTAACAGAATGATGTGGCAGAATCAGAGAGCGTTATACAACTGAGGAGCATGAAGGCCAACTTGTTGGAGCCAGCTCTATTCCCCCAACATACTGCCTGACCAGGACACAGGAGGCCAGGCCACAGCAAAAGGCCACTTTAATGAAGGAAGTAGTCTCTAGAAGGAAGTCTAATGGTGCTCAAACTTAATCATAGCCAATAAATACCACATGCCTGGTGCTGAGCCAGCCACTTGTTAGTGACAAAGCCTATTTTAAGTTAACTCTGTGTCTCATAAAAGTATTATATTTCAGCAATTCCTTAACTCAAGTAGGTATCTGAGAAAATACAATTTCATGTTATCAAAATTTGGCCACATGGTAATTCATGTTAAAAACTGTCAGTTAATCTTGTGGAGGAAAAATTGAATATTAGTGATGGCTAGTGATTTGAAACTTAACTGCCCACTGTTTCCAATTTTAACAACAAGATTTTAAAAAGAACAAAACAGGAGGTCACCTTCAGTTTTTGAAGCTTCTCCGTATTTGTGGTAAAGTGTCCAACCTGAGCTTGGAAACGCTCAAACTGTTTCAAGTATTCTTGGTTTCGAACATGAGCCTTCTTTTCTGAATCACTTATTTCCTTCAGGTATTTCTTTAGTTTTACATACTTCATTTTAATTCTAGAAAAATAAAAGCAGATTTTTTATGCAGTGAGGTAAGACTTTAACAAAGCTAAGGAGAATTTTCTATAACAAAATTGTTAATGAGATGAAGTATTCTAAAATATTATACCCAAACACTGAGTGAAACTTAAAGGATAAAATACATATGTATGTTTTAGAGAGAAAATTAATGCAACATCACTGAGTTATCATATCTAGGGTAACTCTTCTGAGAAATGTGTACAAGACCACATTATAACATTCACATACTAGAGATTTAGATGGATTTCTTTCTCAAAATTAAATTAATTTCAAGAGCAGAGTCTATCTGGGCATGTTCAGGTGAGTAGCTGATTAGCATTATTTTAAATCACAAGCAATTTCAAAACTTCCTGTTCATAATGAAATAGAAACAAATTATAAACTATAATGCACAACATTAAGAAATTTTTAAATTTAAAGTACCAAAGCGGCTCTCATTTAGATAGTATAAAGCTTTTTTAAATTACAACATAATAAATTATTAACATATAAATTATTAACATAATAAATTAATAACATATGGACTACAATACCTCTATTCAAATTGTGAAAAACCTTTAGACACTCTCATCATCCAAAGTGTAAGATCAAAAGATACTGAATAACTCATCCATTCTTCTCATGGAACCAACACTAATTCTAGCTCTACCTTCGCAAGTATTTAAATCATAAAAGAGTACCTAAGTATGTAGGATTTCCATTATTGCCTCAATAAATATTTTGATGTTCTTTTATCAAGCAAAAATAAATTAAAAAGCATAAGAATGTTCACCTTCAACAACAAATTTGCAAAAGGTACTAGAATGCTAAAAAATAATCAACAGACTGGCCCTACCTGGTGGTGCAGCAGGTTAAAACACAGCACAGAGAATCTAAAGCCACTTCCACATGAGTTCGATTCCTGCCTGCCCTGGAGGAGATCCCCATGGCGTGGCAGAGCTCTCCTGGCCCTCCCGCTGCTCCCCTCAGCAGTGTACTTCGTCCATCTGTCTGTTCTGTTCCCCACTCTCTTTCTGGTGAAGCCTCTCACCACCCCTGAGCCTCTGGCCTGTACCCCAGTTCTGTATGCTCAAATAAATAAATCTTAAAAAAATCAACAGACCTTAAGTTCTATCCTTAGGACAATACTTTTCAAAAAAAATATTCATGCTAACAATTCTGTGTTTTGCGCTTGGTGGACTACTCTGTATTTCCCACTGAACAAAGAACTTAATACTGGTTTTACTCATGTCTATGTCTACTATATTTTTTTTATGTCTACTATTTTTTGAAACAAGCAACAGCAGTAGAGGAAGAACCAAAGGTACTGTCACTCACAAACAGGAACTTGGTAAACCTCCTGCTGGTGCATTCATACCTGTAGTAGGTAAATTAGTAACTATGCCTTTTCCACCCAAATCTGAATGTCTGTACATTACCTTCCAAAGCTGTTCATAGATAACTTATCTACCCATCCATATAATGAACTAAATAACTCAAATATTTAGTGCTCCATCAAACACCTCTTATGTCCCCCTCATATTTTCTGGTCCAACCTTTCTTCTGCTGGTCAAGCAGCAGCCCCTTGCTGCGTGCAATATAAACTGGCAGCACTGACCTTGGTTGCACCTGGTATCTTGCTTTCCTAGAGCTGTCTGAATTTGCAACATAAAATCCTAGATGTGAGAAGGAATTAATTATGGAATGGCCCTAACCAAGAATGGGCCAGGAGGTAGTAAATAAACAGGCCTCTCTTCTTCCTGTGAGTGGACACTTATGGGAAGCACAGGGGTGACGGTGTTGTGGGATGCAGCCCCAGGTGCCCATAGGTAATCAGCTCCTCCTTCACTTTTCCTAGCCCTGTTCTGTTTTATGTACCACTTCCTAAAATAAACTACTACCTATATACAAACCCTTGTCATAATCTGCCTTTGGAAAAAATCAGGTTGACACAGCCAGGTTAGAAAGAATGGATTTTTATCTATGGGAAGTCTAACAACAAATGGTATTTTTGGCAAATTATATACTATCTTCCAGGAAACAAAAGACTAGGAGAGGTACCAAACTGATAGTTTCTTTTCTTACTCCCACCCTACCCAAAACTACCTACCAGGAAGCATGTGTTAAGCACAGGCTACAGGAACAGTCTAAACTCTGTCTTCTGGCCCTTTAGCTATATGCTAGAAAAATAGGAATTGCCACGGATCCTTTGAGACTTGGACCCAAGGTTAGGGCATCCGTAACACTGCTATTTCTTCCACCACCACCAGTGACTCCTCTAGTCTCTGGAAATTTCCAGAGTTTAGAGATACATGGCTCTCTGCCCTGACTGATACTCGTGGAAGCCTAAATCTTAGAGTCAAAAAATAATTTTAAAGACAAGGAGGTAAGTGGATCTGATGGGGCACATAGTTTTAGAGTATTCTTGGACTCTTTCTCTTCTGGATGAGATATTTGAGACAGCCTCATTTCTGACTCATATCATGATGTGGATAAATTATAATTAATGTTATCATAGGCAATTTTCAGCCGAGTAATATTGGAGGAAACACTATACATTTAACATAAGGATATTGTTCAGTTCTCATAAAACAAAATTACAAACATTAAAAGTTTGACTGACTTTAATGTTAAAGTAAATAATCAAAAAAGGATAACATGCATATTATCCATCAATCATAATCATATTAGTAATCACTGTTATAAATCCAAGAGCAAATAAGACACCACATAACTGCTTACATTTGTGAAAGGTCAGTTCCTTTAGTTATACCTTAATTGCCCCATAGGTTACATGTGTTTAAGCTGTGGCCAAAAAGAGAAGAATTTAATATGTCTTACACCTAAGAGATTTAAGCAAAGTAGATTCCTAAAATAACATAAAAATAATAATTTTTTTCTTATTCTAACTTTAACCAGATTTGTTCTTACATTTGATAGTTATGATATTAAATTAGTGTTTCAAAAGAAAAGGCACATTAGAAATAAGAAAATGGTAAAAATACTGTAATTATGGTATTTATCATACAAAGTAGGGTTTACTGACATATGCAAATTGGTTTAAAAATAGTTGTCACCTCTCACCTATATGTATCAGACTGACTGTATTCATAAAGTTTCCTTTCCAGGTCCAATCTCTTCTTTTCTCTGTAATACAGAAAATCTTATGTATAACTGAATTAATAAGAAATAGGCAATAAGATTTAGAACACAATCTACTTTGAAATCACAACTTTGTGAGAATACTTCTTTAGTCTAAGAAACAGAAAATGCCAGCTGCATTTGAATCTCAAGATACAAAAATACTTTTCAGTCACCAGTGCAGTCTAAAAAGCAAAAAAAGGACACTGCTAGGAAGTAAAAAAGAACAGATATTCAATGTAAATAGAGAAATGTAGAGAGAAAAGACTGGATAGTTGTTTTATTACTTCAGCAAGTATTTCTTGAGTGCCAGAAATGATTTGAATCTGGTGAACAAGCCAGCCAAGGACCCTGCTTTTCAGGCTGAAATTCTAATGAAAAGGGCAGATGATGAAAAAGAAATACATGGATAAGAGAAGATGGTCAAACTTCTATGATGGGGAGTTTGAGCAATGGAGGTTCCAATGAGTCTGGACACAAATCCACCTTGAATTGAAGCCTGATGGCTTGCTTGCTCTGTTCCCAACAGGACAGATTGGTAGGAAGGAGGTAGGAAGAGCCAGGTAAGAAGAGGTACCTAAACAGTAGATCTAGCCTCACAATTAATGAAGGCCAAAGGTTCCCTAACACTACTATTTTAAATATTGGGGAATTCCTTTATAGAACTTTATAACACTGCCAGATTTGTCACCGACTGCTATTCCTTGTAGCCACTACCATTACAGTAAGTCTATGTTAGGTGAATGTCAATGGTAACTAGAAATCTAAGCTTACCCAGCATATCCAGTGGCCTCAGCAACAGGTAGAGGAAACTGGGGAGCAGAGGGTGTAGCAGCAGACAAACCAAGGAAGCAAAGAAGTTAAACTACCTAATAGGAAGCCATGCCAAACTCCAAAAAACACAGGAGATTTAACCACAGAGGGGTCTGCTGGGCCACCATAAAACCAGTAGCTTCAATCCTCTCTAACTGAAGCCAAATTGCTAAGCCAAATAAAGGCCAGATGAAAGCAACAATGTCTAAGAGAAAAATGCTAAAATAAAAGAAAAACTGTGAATCAAAGACAAGGAATGCAACAGAAGGTGAGTTCAGGTTGGCCTCCTATGGGAAAAAGACTAGAGCACACATTCCATTTGGAGGCTCTTCTTAGTTTCAACTTTCCTTCAAATATTTTTTCCTTTATGAAAAAATTCCAAAATATATTCTATTAACTACATCACAGGTTAAGTTTCTTAATTTATCATAATCTAGAATGGACAGCACCATTTAACCAAAATTCTTTTAATGGAAAATGGGGTCCAAATCCAAACACCAAATCCATTGCTCTGGGAACATTTTATCTTCACTGGCTGGGGTATGTCTATGTTAAAAATGCAAAAAGGAAAAATATTATATATAAATAGAAATGTTAATAGCTTCACACTATTCACACTGGTATTTACTTTCTCATTAATAAGACTGAATTTATAAGTAAGAAAATATAATTGCTCCCATTTTAGAAATTTTTATTAATCATATTTCCCTCTTCTAAGATTTCATGATCACTTGTATACTCATTCCACAAAAAAACGAAACATGTACAATTTGTCATTAGATTATAAGGGAAAAAAGCCTCTTACCCCTGATGTCATTCTTGATAAGAAAGGAAGACCTAAGACTGGCCATGAGTAACCATTAGATGGACCCAGCTAGAGAGAATAATTGTCAGGAACAGGAAAGACAGAAGAATAATTCCATACTGGGAGATATTGAGGAGAAATGGAGCAATTATAAACCCCATGCAATCTGAGTTCAGAGATGGGATCCTGGACCAGAAAAGGAAAAAGATAATAGGATGGCTGGTGAAACCTGGTTGGGGGTTTGTGGACTGGCATATCAGTGTTGACTTCTGGCTTGAACAGTTACATGGTGATCATGTAAGAGAATATTCTTGGTCTTTGGATCTTCACAAATGGAGTGATGGTACACCTGTAATTCTCAAATGGTTTGGAAAAGACAAATGAGTTTAGATAGAAAGGAAGATAGACTGCCAGAAAGAGAACAAGAAAATAAAATAAAATGCTAATAGTTGAGGAATCTGGAGAAATGTAGAGATCTTTGTCCTATACTTAAAATGTGTCTATAAGCTTGAAATTATTTCAAAATAATTTTAAAAATTCACCTATCACCCCAAGTGAAAAGGACCACAGTCTCTTTGGGAACCTACTGCCTTCTACAAGTAAAAAGTTTTTTCAAGTGTCAATTCAAAGTAATTGTTTCTGCCATGCTTGTGGCACTATGAACAACTTAACAAACCATTCCATCAGGCTCTATTAGATTCACTGACCACAATGCAGGGAAACACTGTAGTCATACTGAGAATATAAAATTATATCCCTATGTGATGACAGCTAAAACAACTAGAACTAGAAATATACCAGTTACAAGGGAAGAAATATTAGATCAGCTAACATTATGATCTGCCTCTAAAAAGTCCAGGAAAGGCAAGTTGTTATGACATCTTTCACTCTGGTAATTTCTGGACTGATATAGCAGCTGTGGGCAGCAGTCTTGAAAACGACGCTGGAGTTTTAGGGGGAAATGGTCTTTGTGGTCACTGGAATTGGTTGAAAAAACCAAATACCTTCAAACTCTCAACTAGGACAGCGAAATTCATTACTTGTTACTTTGCAAAACTACAACATTGATTTGAGACTCATTACTACAGAAGCAAATAAACAAAAAATTGTAGACTTACTTTAAATATTAATCCCCTCATTTCTGGTGAAGAACCAAGGTTTAGAGAAACTAAAGAACCTGCACAGAGTCACACAACTGTTCTTGACCTAGAAGCCAAGTTTCCACATCTCTACTGCAGTTTTCTCTGTATCCAAAGTATTTGTCTCTATATGTACTAACTATGCACTAGAGTTAGCTATGGACTTTTAAAATGAAAAATGAATACACACAACAATGTTTTATACTGACTTAAAAGCAAAACTAACCTCTATATGCAGAATCATGAATTAGCTATAAAATTTGGTTCAAATTCCTTATATAATTTTACAGTTTCATATTGCTTAGTAATTAAAGCAGTAAGTATTAAATGTAAAGTGAGTAATAATCATTACACAGTTATTATAACATAAGGACTATAAAACAGCCAGCTGTTAGACACACAGTAAGCAGATACACTAACTCACAATAAACATTTTTGAATTAGAGCTTTGGCTAAAAGATACAAATAACTTGGTGGGGGGGGGGGTGATAAGTAAGAGTAAGCTACTCTTTGATGCACAAAGCAGTCTTCTTTTAATTATCAGGTATGTATGGACATTTAATACATCTTTGAAGTACCACACTATCCACTTACCTGATTTCTGGAAAAAGGTCATTATTAAGAGACAATATGTGACCACTAGGTTCTACATAAGAAATTCATAAGTCCTAGAAATAGCTGGTTGACTTTGGGATTTTTTTCCCCCATTTATTCAACAAACATTTATCAAATACCTCCTCCATTTCAGATATCCTATTAGGAACTTAAGAGTCAGCTAAATATGGTTGCTGTCCCATAAGAATCTTCAGTCTAGGAAGGGAGTAACTTATGACATTAGAGCACTGTAAAAATGCTGAGGTCACTTGAGGAATGGGTTGAACAAAACTTGGCACAGCACAAGCACTGCAGGAAGTGACTTTTTTCTTAAAAGTTGGAGGTAGGAGTTCACTGGGATAGGTGAGTGGTGGTATGTCAGAAAGAAAATAAGATGTAGAAAATAATTATATAATAGGACAATTAAGGGTGTCTGTTGTAGATAATTTCTAAACATTTGACAAGAATTAAATCTGGCATAAGATGAATATAATTTCTTTCCAAAACCACTCACTTCTGCCTTTACCTTACTGTCACTTTTGTCACACATAGCTGTACTCTTCACTAAAATGATTTTGTAACTTTTAACACTCATTAAATGTTCTGTTTATTAAGAAATCCAAGAATCTATTTCCTTTACTGTCAACAAATGAGATTTCCAATTCCACTTAGCTAAATAATAGTTTCAACAATTTCAGCTTTCCTGTGATTATTTATAGTAAACAGCTTCCTAATTTTCTCTGTATTTTTTAGATCTAGCTGTTTTCAGTGGTTCTCATATTTCATTTTAATCAAAGCATAAAAAACCTTGTGGAAGCTGAATTTCTATGGCTGGAAATGTTAACTCTTCGTTGGCAATCTGGTCCCCCCACCCCCAAAGTCTCCCGCATTTAAATAGGGATGTATGTTTGACATTCTCTCTCTCCCTCTCTCTCTCACCACTGATGCAGTGCAACTGTCAGGGTGAGATGACAAATGACAATTTGAACAGAATGGGGATAAAACGCACTAGAGAAATTCACCAGGCTTGACTGAAAGTGACAGGCTGGTGGACAAATTCAGTGATGCAGGCCCCATCCTTCAGATGGAAGCTTCCAATCAGCCAAGAGTCTATAGTAAACTGTCATCCAGGACCCAGCGGGTGCCTGGGGACCTTGAGAACGCAGGCCCAGAGGAACCACGTTCAGGGAAAATGAGAAATAACCCGGGTAAGGCATCAGCAAACCCTCGTCGCGGGCCGACTCCCGTCCCCGCCCCGGGTAGGCCGTACCTGTCCCTCAGCCCTTGCTGGAGTTGGCCCTGCCTCTCGTAGTAGTCGAGACTCTCCAGGGGCAGGGACGTTGCGGACGCCGGTTGCATGGCGACTCCGGACCCGGCTCGCTCCGCACTAGCCCTGGACTTCAGGAAGACCGGGTAGTCCTAGGCGACCGCCCCACCATGCACCGCGGGTAAACACGGCGGCCGCACAGCAAAGGGCGGGGCGAAGGCGGGGCGATGTGAGTGGGCGGGGCGAGAGGTAGTAAAGGGGTGGGGCGCCGTGGAGGGGCGGGGTGTTAGAGGGACGCACTTAGTCTCCAAGGGGGCGGAGGGAAGCAGCCCTGGGGCGGTGGGCTGGCGTCGCTTTGGGCCGCGCGCGGGTCCTCTCAGCCCCGACCTTTCCGGCTCCCTTCGGCTCATCCTTTGGAATTCAGTCTGGAGACACTCTAGCCCTCTCCCAGACAGGCGCGTCTCACTGCAAAGTCAGAGGTCGGGTTCTGATCACCCCTCCCCCTCCTTTTGGTTAGAAGATGGAGCTTGACTGAGCAAATCACGTGATCATTTCCTTCAGTCTAAAACAGCATTAATTTTACAAAATTCATTCTCCCCTCTCATCTCACCACCTCTTGGCCCCTGCCTCCCTAGATTTCGCTGAGTGCCAGGCACCGTGCTATGCTTTTATTTCCTTACCTTCCTTTCCTTCCTTAAAAACAAACACCATGAAGACAAAACCCAAAATATTAAGCAGCTGTGTTTAACCCTGACTGTAGAAGAACCCTTCTGGAAAATCTCTGGTGACTGTAACTATGCGGTTAATGCTGCAGGTCACATTACTGGTTGGTGAAGAGGGAAAGGTTGCTAACAATTTGCTTATGAAGCAAATACTTGTTTGGGCAGACATAGCTAGGTGGGCAAACACTGTATAGAATGCTTCAGCAGGGATTCTGGAGTCAAACTGCCTGGATTCAGATGTTCATATGTTCTTGTCTACTGCCTCTTGATTTGACCCGGAGCAAGTCATCATCCCCTTAAAGCTCGGGGTTCCCCTTTTGTAAAAATGGGGAGGCTGCTAGGACTCATCAGTGCCATTGTTGAATCATTACATTACATTATTTGTGTGTTTACCCAACACCTAATAAGCACAGTTTTCTTCATTATTATCATCATTATTTTCATCATCACTAACTTGAGAGGAAAACATGCTGAAGAAAGAAACCGCCTTTTAAAACCCAAAGGGCAGGAAAAGAAACAAACAAGCAAGTAAACAAAAAAACAACTACAGTGTTTCTTTCATTTCTTATGCTTCTACTGGTTTCTTGTCTCTGTCATAAATTTCATTTACTTATGCACAAGGGTAACTTAAACTTAGTAAATTGATCATTTGCAGCAGAGATGGACCATTCAACAATCAACAATATAAAATCATGGTGTTATTCATCTTTCCTCCACTCTGTCAAGTCCAGGACAAGAGTACAAATGGAGACCCTCATACCATCTTTCAAAAGTATTTAAAAATTGTAAATTAAAATGAGAAACTTTTGCCAAAAATAGATTCTCTTCTCCTATCTTGTCCAAAGTACCTTCATAAAAAACTGGAAAGCCAGACAATTTAGTTCTCTCACTTCTTCCCAGTACACCAAGTTATTTCCCACTCAGGCAACACTCCAGACTTCAACACTGTGAAAGTGGAACTATGTCTCCCCACAGTCTACAAATCCCACCTTTATCCTTATCTCCATCTCAGCCTTATCTCCACCACACCTTGGGCCTAAAGGTGAGTGCACTTACATACTTTGGGAATGCACTTTGGTTCTTTAGAGTAGGGAATGTCAATGTGGTGGGTATACTAGAAGAGAGGTGTATGAATCTAGAAGTAGACTAAAAGCAGCCATGTCCCCTGGCCCTGGGGCCTCCTTGGCTTGTGTTGAGTGATATTACAGAAAAGCATCTGTAATGATATAAAGAAGTCAGAGAAGGGGCCCTTCTGCTGTTGACTAAGATAGTACTGATGTTACTTTACTTACTCATTACATAAAATAATTGTACCAAATTGGTTCCATAATAATATACAAAGGTTTGTCTTATGATTTTAATGCAAACACCATTTTGCTACTACTCAGGCTAAAAGAAATGTTTATTTTGGGATGCTTTATTTAAATTCCTTCTCACCCAGATTAATTTTTTAAAGGAGAAGGAATATTCTAAACAATTAATTTAGCTAATTATTTTCAGCAAATACGCAGAGTAAGCAGATGAGGCAGTCATTTAGAATTTCAAATTTTTATTAGGCTATTTTAGGAGAGTCTAAAATTAAAAATAATTAAACAGTAAATAGATAACTCACAATAATTATAACTTGCATTATGTGGTTGATTTATTAATGACATATGACAAATCTAGATGTAGGACACCCTTTATTAACAATAGCACATAGCAAACTAAATGTTTCAAGAGTATTAATGCTAAAATTATGCATTCTAAATGGTGACAGACTTCTAATAAATGCAGAGTTTTTCACTTTGAATATTTAATTTGCGGGGACACTCACTTTTAATATTTCCCTTAAATCCCTGTGTATGAGCAGAACTGATTTCTATAAGCAGCATTGCTTTTAACATGTCAGGACCATGGACCATTAAGTCTGATTAGATGGACAGGAAGACCTATTAGCCACAAGATATCTTAGCTGGAAGTTTGAAGGAATAGAGCTTCTTTTCTAGAGGAGGAAAATGTTCAGGGAAAGTATGGGACTTGGCCAAGCCATAAAGCTGATAACCTATGTATTATTAATTAATCTACATCCAGAGATAGGTCTCTAATAAAGCAAACAGCAAGAAAAGCCAATGTTTAATCCCAATAGTTATATGGATCTTAGGATGAACCATATGGAATTACTCTTTAGCTCAAAAACAGTTGGACCAGTAAATGGACAATTGATATTGGAAATTTGCTGAAATTAGAATTTTATATTCTAAGATGTGAACACTGCAATTTTAAAATGAAATTCAGTATATTTGAGTTGACAGCTGCTTGGATATCATGTTAGATTGTTAGGATTGCCACGGTCTGGGTGACTTAACCAACACTCAGCTTGAACCAAGGTGTTAGCTGAGTTGATCTTCTGAAAGCTGGAGGGAGAATCTGTTCTAGGTTCTCCCCTAGCTTCTGGTAGTTTGCTGGCAACTTTTGGCCTTTCTTGGCCTATGTGCATGCCTCCCCAAATTTTCCTTTATGTGAGGACACCAGTCATGTTGAATTAAGAGTCTCCCTTCCTCTAGTATGACATCAACTTATCTAATTACATATGCAGTGACCCTATTTCCAAACAAGATCGCATTTTGAGGGACTGGAAGTTGGAACTTCAACGTGTGAATGAGGAGGGATGTGTTTGTATACAGAACTCAACCCTTAAAGGTACAAACTTGGGAAAGTATTTCAATTTGCAATCACTCTGCAGAAATATTATACAATGTATCCTCTGCTATTAGAAAATTTGGTTGGTAGGCAAACTCAAAAATGAAAGGTGGGGAAAATGTCTGCAATGATGTCATGTGAATATGTGATATAACCTCTCTTGTCATTGAGTATTTACATTGATGTAAGTATTTCTTGCCTCATTTACACCTCACAACAATTCCTGAGGACACCACACATTTAAGGATCTTTCCTAAAATTGTACTACCAGCATGCCAGGTAGACAGCTAATGGTAGCACTGGAATTTGAACACAGATCTGTTCTAATTCCAAATTCCATCCTTTTTTTAACCTCCATTCTCTATCGTCTTGAAATTCATCATTTAGAAGCCACTGATATTTTTTTGTTTTTCTTGTATGAGATGCATAAAATATATATCTAGGCCCTCCCTGGTGGCGCAGCGGGTTAAAGCACTGCACTACGAAGCTTAAGCCACTTCTTCATGAGTTCAATTCCCGCCTGCCCCGGAGGAGTCCACATGGTGAGGCAGACCTCTCCTGGCCCGCCCGCTGCTCCTCTCAGCAGTGTACTTCATCGATCTGCCTGTTCTGCTCCCCATTCTGTCTCTGGTGAATCCTCTCATCCTCCGCATCTCTGGCCTGTACCCCAGTTCTATATGAATAAATAAATAAATCTTTAAAAAATATATATATACATATATATATATATATAGACATAATATATATTGTATATAGTATACAATTACCCATGACATATCCAACAAGTTGAGGTCTTTAAGAGAGAAAACAGAGGTCTCCAAGAGGAGTTCTGACTTAAGACTGCAACATCAAACTCTTGCTGCCTGCAGGCATGTCTTATGGACTTTGAACTTCCAAGCCCCCATAATAGCATAAGCAATTTCCTTAAAAATCAGTCTCCCCTCTCCCCACTTCCAGATATAGATGAAGACATAGATATAGCTACCTTAACTATTGATAGGTCTGATTGTCTGGAGAATCTTGACTAACACAGAAAGGCGCAACATTTCATTTTGCATTAATTGAAATGATAATTTTGCATTTATAGTTCACAATTAATTAGTTTGTATTAATTGCTTACAAGTAATGGAAGTAATTTTGCATTATGGAAACAATAGAAATTAGGTGCAAATCATAATGAATAAAATGAAACCATAGATTCCTTCATGTGCTTTTATATCATATAAATCAGTAACTAGTATGGCCCTCTAAAATACTCAAGTTCTATGAAAGCTAAATTGCCAAAAATGGTATTAACTAAAAATTCACTGCTTAATGAGATGTACACACTCATAGCTCTTACATGCCCATGATGTCCACTGAAGTATTTGAATGTGCACTTCGAGGTGGTCTCCAGCACTATCCCTATGTTGACAAAGAGGAATGCACAGCATTGAAAGATTTAAAGCACCAAATCTCATGTTCTTTTCTCCCTGCAGAATTTATGGTAACTTGATTCTGCCTGGCAGGGACTATTCCCCAACCACGGAACTCTGGGTCCACGAGCAGCAACCTGCATCCCTTAGGTGATATCACATTCAAATAATCTTCAAAGGCGAAGAGTCTCCTCAAAATTCGTTTGATGAATTTCATAATTGTTTGCCACTTGGATGTACTTCTCATCAGAGTTCAACAAGTTCTCCTAACTACAAGGATTGGAAACAAAAGGATGCTTTAGGCCTACTCTTATAACTCTCAGGCAGTTTAAAAGGATTT